CTAAGCCATGGGGCCGGCCCCCCCGTATTTAACTTTTAAAGAAATTGCCAACCAGTTCTCCTGAGTGGTCGTGCCATTTACAGTCCCCCCACAGTGCTCTGCATCATCACCTTGGGGTGAATATCTCCCCTGATATTAGCCGTTCTTTTGGTAGGAAATGGCATCCCATTGTGGTTAAAATTTGCATTTCTTTGATGACTAATGATGTTGAGCACCTTTTCATGTGTTCACTGGCCTATTTTGAACCATTTTCACATTTTGAACCTTTTTCACTTGATGTACAAATGATCACTTTTTAAATTAGCTTTAACTTAGAATTATTATTAATTCGTAATTGTGATAATTATATCATGCTTATGTTTTTAAAGGCTCTTTTAGAGATACAAATTCAAATATTAATAGATAAAATGCTGTGTTTGGGATTGGCTTCAAAATTTTTCGTGTTGTGTGTGTGAAATGAGATGGTAGAAGCTGGGTGATGGGAGGGTGGGGTTTGCTGTAGTCTTCTCTCTGCTTTTGTGTATGTTTGACATTTTCCATAACAAAATGTGGTTTTTTAATTAGCTCTAATTAACAGTTTGATGCTAGATTAGTTGAATATAAACCAGACTCCTTTTTAGCTTTTGTTTTGGACCACTCTGCTCAAACTATTTTTTGTCTCACATCCTAAAATTTGGAGAGTTTCACTTGCATCTTCAATGGGTCTTGGGCTCCAGCAGCCAGGGGGTAAAAGAGTGTCTCTGAGTTAGCTTGCAGGGGGAGGGCTAGCTGGCAGGGGCTAGGGGATGCTGGTTCTTGGAGCATAAGGTCTCAGCCAGCTGTTTCCAGAGTCAGTCCTAGAGCTCTTGGTGGCAGACAGTCAGGAAGCAAACCAGAGGCTGAGGCTTGGGGAGGCAGAGTGCAGGGTGTCGACACAAATAATCCATAATCAACCTATAAATCAAAATTGGGGTGAGTTTATTATGAGCCAGGTTTGAGACTATAGCCCAGGGCCTTCCTTCCTCAAGGGCACCAAAGAAGTGGGGTGTACAGAGTGGTTATATACTGTCTTGGAACAAAGAGCATACACACCATAGAACAGGAATATCTCTTTTACTACTGTCACAAGATGCTTACCTGGAGCAGCAGGGTGGTGGTCAGCAGGTCAGTGGTCACAAGGTGAGCACCGCAGGTTGATAATTTATCCTTAGTTTCCAGGAAGAGATATTATCCTTAAAGAAATGCCAATATAGGGGGAAGTTACATCCCTATCTTTAAGGGTAGCATTCTTGTCCTTGGGACATTGTAAATGTTTAAAGCAGATGTACAATGCACACTCAACAGGCCACGTCAGCCCCTTTTGGAAAAACAAGGTCAGGCCGAATTAGTTTTAAACCAAGTGGCTTCCTCATATGCTCCAGTATGTCCTATTGCTTTTGATTTATTTATCAAGGGAGAGAAGCAGCATTCGCCTCAGGAGCAGTAACAGAATCACCTCATCAGTACTTGCTGTCCTAGATAATTTCAGTTTTATTGAAGCTGACAGCAGCTTCTCTTTTCAAACTGACCCTGCACTGCGTTTAAGAGTCACAGTAGTAGGCTGTCTGTACAGAACATCCTCTGTCATGTTGTAAACTTTAGCAATTAAAAAACATTTAACTCACTTTATTTTTATACAAAAGCATTTAAAAGTAAATTACAGATATTTTGACATTCTAACTTTAAATACTTTGGTCTGTGATTCTAAAAATTTAGTATTAAGATAACCAACAATAGCATTATTATATTGTCAACTTAAAAAGCAAATTTGCCTGTTTTATTCTCAAAACAAGTTTATTTAGGAATAGCCAAAATAATTGCCATTCAGGATGTCCAAAGGCAAACCTGGAGAACAAAGGAGGGAGCTGCTTTTATAGAGAAAAAGGGGGAGAGGGAGGGGCTGCTCTAAAGGAAAGTCCACTGGGGGAGAGAAACAGAACCGGGTGGCAACGGCCTCTCATTGGCTGAGCTGTGGCATTTCTGATTGGCTGGGCTGTTGCTGGGTGGGGAGAGAAGTCTTCCCTCAGTAGTAAGTAGTTGTGCTTCCAGTGGGCCATGGAAGTCTCAGTCTCTTCCTGTTTGGTGTAATTGAAGATAAGTACTGGGGTGAGAGCTCCCCCTGCAGGCCTTCCGGGTCCAGTTTAGTTGAGGTTTCTTTATTAATTTTCACAATATTTAAAATGTAGTGTTTCCTGCGTATCATGTAATGCCCTGCCCATGTCCCACCCTGGCCAGGTGCTCAGGAAGGAGTGGTGAGCCCTTGGCTTTGGGGAAGCCCCTCCTGGCCTGAGGGACGACTGTGCTGTCCTGCCTGCGGGGTCGTCGTGGCTTCCCGTGGTGGTGTCCCAGTGTTGCTGCTCTGGAAGTCAGAGGAGAGGCTGACGGGCACAAGGTCACAGGGCACGTGCCCCTCACACCTGCTGGCCGCCCTCAGAGTCAGGTCCCACCTCCCAGGACCAGACAGCTGGCCCCATCTCCTGCCCAGGCCCAGAGCATTTTAAAGCCATAATGGTTTAGAAAACGTGGATTCAAGGTACTCTGCTTTTGGGTTTAAAATGTGTGGTTTGGGGGTCTCTGTTTTTTCTCTGCCTCCAGGTTGTGACTCGGCTGATTCATCTCTTGGGAGAGAAGATCTTGGGCAGCCTTCAGCAGGGAGCTGTGACAGGTGGGTCCCCCAGGCCTGGCACCTGAAAGCCATGCCCACCCTGTCCTGTGCCTGCCCACTTCACTCAGAGCCCTTCCCATCTCAGAGCCCCGCCCACCTCGCTCAGAGCCCCGCCCACCTCGCTCAGAGCCCCACCCATCTCACTCAGGGCCCCACCCACCTCACACAGAGCCCTGCCCACCTCACACAGAGCCCCGCCCACCTCACTCAGGTGTCTGCCCATCTCACTCAGGGCCCCGCCCACCTGACTCAGGTACCCACCCATCTTGCTTAGAGCGCTGCCCCCCTCACTAGTACCCTGCCCTGAAGAGGAGGGAGGAGGAAGGGGAGGGGGTGGAGCCCCCACCATCCCCACCTCTGAGCTTGGGGGAGGCTCCTTGGGTTGTGGCAGTGTGGAAGAATTTGCTGAAATGCGTGTGGGTGTGGCAGCACTGGGGGGAAGCTCTAGTCTGTGCTCCCTCTCCCCGTGTGGTGGTCGGCTCTCCGGACAGAGGCAAAGGAGTAGTGCCGATGGCGTGACCTGTGCTGAGCAGCAAAGATGATGACAGTTCTCGAGTGTTGGAAGTTCTTCTGTCTCAGCTTGCTTATCCTCTTCTAGTTGTAAGTCTGAGAAAGTGCCTTTTTCAGGAGCCACTCACTGTGAGCTCTGGGCACACTGGCCTCCGAGGGTTTGAGGACTGATGGCTCCATCTGAGTCTCTCCTGGTCGGGAGCGTGGGGTTCCAGCCTCCTTGCTCTTCCATGACCACCTGCTCCTGCTTTGGCCACTGTCCTCTCTGCCTGGAGCACCCCTCAGGAGAGCCTTGCTCCCCTTCTATCCCAAGCCGCCACCACAGCATCGCCTCCCCGACCCCCCTCCGCCCGCAATGCCCTCAACTCCTCAGCGCCCCTTTCCCACTTCTCCCTGCACTCGTTCCCACCTGATGCATCGCCTGTCTGCTTGTTAGCCCGTTTGTTGTCTGTCTCGGCGCCAACAGGGAAGCTGCAGGCGGGGGGCTCTGTCTGTGTCTCCAGCGTAACCTAGGCACACGCCTGTGTTTGTGGAAGGAGTGAATGGATGGGTGGACAGGCGTGCTGTGTGGAGGCAGCAAAGTGTGGCGGCACCACCCCACTCCAGTAGACTCCTCTCAGCTCATTACGTCTGCAAAGACGCTATTTCCAAACGAGGTCACATTTGGAGATTCTAGGTGGTCATGAATTTTTGGGAGACACTGTTGAATACATCATATATCTTTTTTCATTTTACTTTTAACCAATCTGTACGGTTATGTTTGAAGCGAGTGTCTTGTAGAAAGCATGTGGCTGGATCATGTTTTGTCATTCCTTCTGACGCTCTTTGTGTTCCTTCTGACATTTATTTGTGTTCAGACCATTTACATTTAACATAATTATTTATATATTACGATTTGTCTGTCATTTTATTATTTGTTTTCTGTTCTCCCCTGTTTTTTTCTTTTTTTTTTTTGACATTTGTCTAATTCCTCTTTCCTATCTTCTTTTGAGTTACTTGAACGTTTTTTGACTATTCCATTTTTGTTCATCAATTGTCATTTCCAGTACATGTCTTCATACAATATTTTCAGTAATTGCTCTAGGGATCGCAATATTCATACTTATCCTTGTCTTTTAATATCAACATTTTATCACTTTAAGTGGAATGTGGAAACCTTATCACTGTTTAGGTCACTTTATTCTTCTCTCTTATGCTGTAGTTGTCTTAAATAATATCTCTACATACATTGAAAACCCCCCACTTTATATATATATGTATGTCTGTCACACAGTGTTATAACTTTTGCTTTCAGCTATCAAACACAATGTTTAAAACTTGAGAGAATAGTCTGTGATCTTTACCATTTCTGTTGCTTGTGCTTCATCCTGGTGTTCCACGCTTCCTTCTGGTATCATTTCCTTCTGTCTGAAGAAGCTCCTTTAGTAATAGTCCTTTTAGACTACACATTTTCTTAATTTTCCTTCATCTGAGAATGTCTTTACCTCATCTTCGTCCTGAAGGATATTTTTGCTGGATGTGCAGTTCTATTTTGACATTGTTTTTAGTTTAGCACTTTAAAAATTTTCTGCCATTTCCCTCTGGCTTCCTTTGCTTCTAATGAGAAATTCTGACATTTGAATCGTTCCCAAGTAGGTAGTACATCATTTCTCTCTGGTGGTGTTGAAGACTTTTTGTCTTTAGTTTTTAGAAATTTGACTTTGGAGTGTCTGAGCATGAATTTCTTGGGGTTTATCCTGTTTGGCGTTTGCTCATCTTCTTAAATCTTGAACAGGTGTATATCTTTTACCAAATTTGGGAAATTTTCAGCCATTATTTCTTCAAATATTCTTTCAGCCCTGTACTCTCTCTCCTCTTCTGGTAATCCAGGGATGCAAATGTTAGACCTTTTGTTATTGTCCCAAAAGTCTCTGGGACACTGTTGGTATTTTCCATCTTTTTTTCTCCCTTCGATGTTCAGATTGAGTAGTTTCTTTTTATCTGTCTTCAACATCATTGGCTCTTTTCTCTGTCTTCTTGATTCTGCTCTTAAGCCCATCCAGAGAGTTTTTTGTTTCAGTTATTATACTTCTGCATTTGTTTCAAGATGGTTCATAATTGCTTTTTCTAGCTGATTATGATCAGCTGCTTTATTGTCCTTGTCAAGTAATTTCAAATTCTGTGGTGTGTTGTCATTTTTGTCTGTTGATTGTCTTTTCTCATATTAGCTGAGATATTCCTGGCTCTTGGTATGCTTGGTAATATTGGGTTGTATCCTCTATTTTGAGTATTATGTTGTGAGACTCGGGTTCCCCAATTAAATCTTCTATTTTAGCAGACTGTCAGTGTGCTTATATTCGTAGAGCATGTCCTGGCCCTCATTCCTGGACTGTGTTTGAGTGTTCGTTTAGTTCTCAAGGCCTCTGCAGAATTACTTTGGTCTTCCCTGCTTGTGCGCTACCCAGAGCCAATGTGAAGGCTGGCTGGTATTCTACAGCGTATTCTGTTCTCGGAGCCTCTGCTGTGCGATTCTGGCTGCTTTCATGCATGGGCTACTTGGGGGTGAGCCCAGGACTTCATATGAGATTCAGAGGATTCCTTTCTCTATCTCCCTCCTCTCTGCGATCTCCCCCCTCTGGTTAGGGCGCCGCCTCTGCTTGCTAGGGCAGGGCATGGAGAGTTGGGGACCTCCACCCTACTGTGTCTACAGCCCCATACAGGTAGGGAGCTGGTTTTTGCTTAGTGATGGGGGCCCCCCAGAAAGTCTCCCTGGAGGGAGCACCCACTGGGGAGGGGGAGGGAGAGGGATGGACCCTGCCTGCCTGTAGCTGGGGGTGGGGGTGCACTGCTGCTTTTGTGGCATTAGTAGGGTGGTCTTCCCATGAGTCAAGGTCCCTAGCCCATCTGCCCTCCCCTCTGCACCCCTCAGGGTCTCCTGAAAACTGCAGCCGGGACTCCTTGTGACTGCTGGCAGTGGTTGGGTGGGATGTGCCTGCTCCATCTCTCTCTTGGCCAGAACCAGAACCTCCTAAGTGCCTTTCTTAAAGGCTAAGAAAGAGCTGCGCAAAGCTAGCAATAGAATCCCCTGTTGGTTCTATCTTAAACGGAGGGTTCTGATAGAGGTCACTGGGGGAGATAGAGAGGAAGGGGATTCACCAAGGAAAAGCCTGAGGAGAGCCAGTGAAAGGGGACCCCTCTGCTGCCCTCTGTGCGGCCAGTGACCACCTCACTTTTCTTTCCCTGCCCCTAGATTAGCTCTTAGCAAACCCCCTTGTCCACTGTCCTGCATCCCCCCACTCTGTCTTCTGGGTCAGGCTGTACAGGGACCCACACTCCACCGCTTGGGAACTGCCGCTCCTCACCAGGGGCGAGATGAGCAGAGTCAGAAATGGACGCCCTCTTGGAGGAGCTGGGCCTTTCTGACGTGGCTGGTGTGTGTGCCTGGCCATGCCCTTCAGGGGTTGGGAGGGTCTGTCCGTGTGGGAGCTGGGATGTGGCAGCCAGTTGGCTGGGCCAGGCAAGCAGCATGGAGCAGGCTGGGGAGCGAGTGGTCAGAGAGCCAGGAAGAGAGCCCTCGGCTTGTCCAGGCCCCAGGAGAGCAGGGTCTGTCTGGGGACGTGGTGGCAGGAGGGGTGAGGCTGCCCCCTCGGCTATCTCCATGAAAACAGGAGATGCCACTCACCAAGAATTGACTTGATTGTTGGAAATAAACTCACCCTGCTGCCTCTGTGCCTGCTGCGGTGGGGCCTGAGGAGGCAACACGGCTTCCTGGGCCTCAGTGTCCAGAGAAGGAGAGCCTGTGGTCTCAGGGGCAGGAGGCTCTGCCTGTACTGACTGACCCTCAAAGGCTCGGGCTGCTGCCTCCGGATCCCAGCCCTGATCTCCCCATGGGTCGTTCTGAGTCTCCCTCGGTGTCTGGAAGTCCCATGCAGACAAGAGACAATAAAAACGTGTCTGTTGATCTTGTAAAGGCTCATATTGTTTACTGTTTCTAGAGCGAGTGGTGGAGAACTCGAGGAGGGGTGGTTGAAGGATGGTCCTCACCTGCAGATCATGTGAACTATTTGAGTTGTTTCTGGGCCTCACGTTCTTTTCCTCATGCTGTGCCTCATCTCTGTTTCCCTTCAGTGTCCAGTGTGTGTGAGATGCAAGGGTGCTGTCAATGTGGTCTGCTCCTTCAGCAGGAAAGGCAGGCCCAAAGACCAGGTGGGCAGGAGAAGCTCTAGTTATGGAGAGCGGGAGCAGACCCACACCAATTCCTCTCGTCCCAGGCCACTTGTGCCGCGGTGTCGCCTGACAACATCTAGACACACCTAGACGCTGTCAGAGCGGCGGCTGGACCCCTGAGGCTGACACACCACCCTGTGCTTTGCAGGTCACCAGTTTGGGCTACACACGGCAGGCAGCAAGTGGGACTCGGGGAACCCTCCCAGCAACCTGTCCACAGTGGCCGTCATGCCCGTGTCAGAGGATGTACCCCTCACCGCCTTTGCCCTGGAGCTCAAGCATGCCCTCAGCGCTATCGGTAAGCCCCTCCTCCTCCTGCCTTGGTCCTTCTAGGTTCTTCTGAAAGTGCAGTGGGTGTCGCCCTCACAGCTAAGCCCTGGGGCTGCTGGGGAGGGCATGTCCACAGTGGGCAGAAGACCATCCATCAGGCATCTCCAGACAGTCTTGGTGGGCAAACTCTGTCTCGCAGCGGCTTGTGTAAGTCGTGCGCAGGCTGCCCTTCCAGGATAGCTAGAGCTTTCCTGAACACGGGGTGCGCTCAAGACCACAGCACAGAGACCCCTGAATTCCCCGCCGAGAGCCCGTCTTGGGTTCTGAGCCTGCTGCGGGGCACCTGCCAGCTGCTTCACTGCTTGGAGGGGACACTGCAGTGGCTGGGGAGCTGGCTGACCACAGGGAAAACACCCTTGGTTGGGATCAGGAAGCTTGGGTAGTGTTTCCAGATTCCTGACAGCTGTTAAGGATTCAAGAAAAAGAAATTGAATTTCCTGAGAACTCTTATGAATTGCCAAAATTATAAAGTATTTTATATTCTTAACACTTATTTATAAGTTTTTATAGACTATTTGTGAGCAACCGTAATGACAGACAGTAAGTCAATTTTCTAGGATAGGGTTATACTAAAAGTTTCAGGGGTTGTCTTTAAAAAATGATATAATAGCAAATGCAATGAATGTTATATTACTATCATGCAATGATATATTATGACAAGAGTGTGTACTTTAATACCACGTGAAAATGCTCTCTACCCGATACAGCATTAAATAAATGCCAAATAAAAATGACGTATAAAATTGAAAAATACTACTATAAATATTTAATATTTAAAAGTTATTCTCAAAATGAAATTTTAAAATCAGAAAGCATTAATTGCCCTGTGTTTCTTGTCCTTTGTTTTATAACAAATATTCCAGATGTAGAGAATTCCATTCATTTTCCATTGACCTTGGTCACATTGTTCAGAGCGCATCCAAAAGCACCTTCAAGTTGCACAGTGGAGATGTGTTGCTTCGTAAAAGCTTATTCCCTTTTTTAAAGAAAACTTTTTATTTTTAAATAATTATAGATTCACAGGAAGTTGCAAAAATAGTGCAGAGAGCACCACGTCCCCTTCCTCTTGGCGACATGGCTGTGGTGCAGCATCGAGACCAGGAGACTGACGTTTGTGCGGTCTGCAGGCCTTCTTCATAGTTCAGTCTGCTTATTTTTCTTTTTCTGGTATATGCGAGTCTGTTCTGCTCTAGTCTTATCTCTCCTACCAGCAGCAAGCTCTAGAAGGCAGGAAATATTTTACTCATTTGTGGACCCCCAGGGTCTCTCTCAGTTGTTTATAATTATTAACGGTAGTTTCTCAAAATATCTTGATTGAGTGGTTGATTATTAATGCGGTTGTCGGGTCTGAATGGGGCCAGATTGGATTCCCCTGGTAGCCAAGAGGCAGTCCTTCCGCCTTGCCACACAGAGCGAAAGACATGAGTGCCGATGAGCCATCCTGTGTCTCCTCCCTGCCCTGGACCTGCTCACCACCTGGGCCTTAAGCAGACCCCTCCCAGGGACAGGGTTGGTCACCACATCTGTGACAGACAGGAGATGCAGCCTGTGCCCTGGGAGCCCAGAGCACCACCTTTGGGGTCTCCACCCTTCCCTAAGGGCCCTCTCAGTGTCCCCCAAGTCCAGTCAGGGGGCCTAGAGCAGGAGATGTGCACCAAGGGCAGGTAGAGCCCAGCTCAAGGTCCCCTGAGTGTTCCTGCAGCCAGACACAGCCTGCCCGTCCTGTCATGTTCCGGACGTCCAGGAGGTCAACAAGACGTGTCACTGCAGTGCCCAGGAGGGCCCGCTCTTGCAGGCACATGAGGCAGTCCAGCCCTGAGAGGTCTCCTGCTCTGTCGGACCCATGTGGGATGACCACCTTGAGCTTGGAGCTCTTCTCCGCATGACCCCGCAACCCACAGAGCAGCAGCGCAGCCCACCCAATAGGATTGGCGCTCTTCACCCCAAGCCCCCAGAGGAGCTGCTTCTTTGCGTCAGCAAGTTTCTGCCATTTAAGTCAGAGCTATACGTGCACACGGGTCACACCAGGTAGCCACACCTCAGTAGGGCCACCACCATTGTACGGTGCACCCTTATTTTGTGTGCCTCTAAGAAAGCTGATGCTGCCAGTTAAAATACAGAGCAGTGATTTCTTCTTTCTCACCTTTTAATTATCCGCTTGTGGAGAAGCTCAGTTGTGAGAAGGAAGCCCTCGGGGAAGGCTCAGTTCTTATGCGCTCCCATGCTCTTCCTGTGCAGCATCAGACTTCCGGGTCCTCTTGAGCCCGAGGTTGTGGTGCTTGTCTTCGGCCGGCCAGCGCATCTGCGAGGCAGCACTTTCTGAGGCTGAGTGCCGCTCTCATCTTGGCTTTTGTCCCAAGTGCCTGGCCTCCTTTCACAGATTTTTTTTTTTTATATAATTTTATTTATTTATTTATTTTCCCCCCAAAGCCCCAGTAGATAGTTGTATGTCATAGTTGCACGTCCTTCTAGTTGCCGTATGTGGGACGCGGCCTCAGTGTGGCTAGAGAAGCGGTACATCGATGCGCGCCCGGGATCCGAACCCAGGCCGCCAGTAGCGGAGCGCACGCACTTAACCGCTAGGCCACGGGGCCGGCCCCTTTCGCAGATTCTGACGCTGGCCTTCCTGGTTGAGCAGCCTCTGACAACTGTTCTGTGACGGTGACTCTAAGACACTTAGCTGGAAGACGCACACTGATTTCAGAGACAAAAATGTGACAAGATGTGTGTCTTGACACTAGTGAACTATATACCACGTGGAATCCAGCCCGCCTTGCTTATCTGGACTTGGGAAATTATATTACCTTGCGTTTTACAAGCTTGTGCTTCCCCTGTCCCAACACACAGTCTCAGTGCTGCAGAGATTTGACTCCTTCCTGGGTAGATGAGGAGACCAAGGTTCAGAGAGGCCCCCTGTCCCTGTGTAGACAAGGGGACTGAGGTTCAGAGAGGCTGCCCATCCCTGTACCTGTTGAGCCCCTGAGCTGGTGCAGCTTTCCTAGCTCCTACTTCTGCATCATGCAGACTCACCTGCTCAGAGGGTCTCCTTCGGGGCAGAGGGAATGGTCACCTCAGGCCACAGGCACTTCCTCATTGAAAGGTGAAAGGTTTCTCATTACTTTCAAGAAGAGCAAACCTCTAGCATAGGGAGTGGGCACTCTTGTCCACTGGCCCTGGGCTGCTGCTCTGGACAGGCCGCCCTTGTCCCAGACCTGGGCCGCTCCTGTTGACAGGCTGCACTTGTCCTGGAGGGGGCTGCCGGGACAGTTTTCTGTGGTCGGTTGTTTTCAGGCCCCATCCTGCTGTTGACGAGCGACAACGTAAAACAGCGCCTTGGCTCTGCTGCTCTGGACAGGTATGCCAGCCTCCACGCAGGGACAGCCCGGCCCACCTGAGCTTCCTGCTCTCAGTGGCTTTAAGCACAGCCTTGACGTGCGCCCCCCATGTCTATGCACACCCTGGTCTGCGTGCCCCCTCTGTCGGCGCCCCCCCTGCATGTCCCTCTGTTTGTACCCCACTCTGTCTGCGTCCCCCTGTGTCTGCACCTCCTGTCTGTGCCCCCTCGTGCTGCCCTCTGTCTGCACTCCCCATGCCTGGGTCCCCCCTGTGTCCGCACCCCACTGCATCTACACATGCTCTGGCATCTGTGCCCCCCCATGTCTGTGCCTTCCAGTATCCACGAGTACCGGCTGTCCAGCTGGCTGGGGCAGCAGGAGGACATCCACCGGATAGTGCTTTACCAGGCGGACAGCACGCTCACGCCCTGGACCCAGCGCTGCATCCGGCAGGCCGACTGCATCCTCATCGTGGGCCTGGGCGAGCAGGAGCCCACGGTGGGTGAGGTGAGCTGGGAGCAGGGCAGGCTCCAGTGGGCAGGATCCAGTGGGCAGGTCCTGGCTGGGGGCTGCTCTCTCCTCAGACCCATCTGTTTCTCTGTCTTTTCCTTTGAATGCAATATTTCAACAACTCGGGAAAGGATGGATGATCAGAGCTAGCACCCAGATATCTGCCCTCCTCGCTGTGAGAACATTTTGCCTTGTTTACCTGCTGGTTGTTTTAGCACAAAGCAGGGCAGTGACCTCCCTGCCCGCCGTGGCCTCTGTGAAGTTGAAGCCTCTGTCTGTGTTTCACCCTTTAGCTGTGTGTGTATGGCCCTGTTTTACAGGTCTAAATTTTATACAAATAGTGTCCTATTTTATAACATTTTGAAATATCCTTTTTTCCTCAACACTTAGGTTTTGGGGCTCTATCCGTATTGTTTCACTCGTTTTTATGGCTGTTTAGTTTCCTGTTTGTGAATACCCCACCATCTGTCTGTTCTCAGCCAAGGGGCTGCAAGGTTGTTTCACTCTGACGAACCGTGTGCAAGCGTGTCTCCAGAGTACCCCCTGGAAGAGTTGCTGGATCACAGCGGATGTGTCTTCAGGCTTACTAGATGCTGCCAATCTGCTGTCCCCATTGAGAGTGCCATATTCCCTTGCGCTGTTGCTGCGGGAGAGGCCTGAGGCTCCATGTCCTCCCCGCTCCGCACCATCAGTCCTGTTTGTTGCCAGCGTCACGGGTGTGAGGTGGAGTCTCGTGATCCCTTTAGTTCTGATCATCCACCTCCTTCCTCCCTTCCATCACTCTGTTCTCATCACAGGCTCCTGCCTCTCTGATCTTGGGGCAGCCAGAAATTCCTCATCATGATGCAGACCCCTATTCTGCAGGGAGTGATGCTCCCTTGCAAGGGAGAGTGTTTGCAAATTACAACATTGGAGAAGGTCATGGTGTGTGTTCTCGAGGCAGTATTAGAGAAGCAGGGAGGGGAGGCGGCCTCCTTCCTTCCTGCACACCCCTGCAGCTCCCTCATGGCCACGCCTCCCTAGCCCAGCACATAGTAGGCACACAGCCGGGAAGACCCCTGGGTCACAGCTTCAACAGCCAAAGGGCAGAGCATGCCACAGCCAAACTGGTTTACAGAACCAGGGTGTCGCCCGTCAGGGCCCTGGCCTCGGACCCTTCAGGCCTGTGTGGGGCTGGTCGGAGAGGCAGCGTCCAGCGTGGGATCTCTATAGACAGCCCTGACCTGGTCTTCAGCTCTGTCCTGCCCAAGTCCTCAGGCTCACCTGGGCTGCCTGACACACAGGCTCTGCTCTCCCTCAGCTGGAGCGGATGCTGGAGAGCACAGCCGTGCGCGCCCAGAAGCAGCTGATCCTGCTGCACCGGGAGGAGGGGCCCGCACCTTCCCGCACCGTGGAGTGGCTCAACATGCGGAGCTGGTGCTCTGGTCACCTGCACCTCTGCTGCCCGCGCCGCGTCTTCTCCAGGAGGAGCATGCCCAAGCTGGTGAGGCCTGGGCACAGGGCGAGGGGCCGGCCTGGTGGGAACTCCTGGCCTCCAGACCACAGCCCTCGCCTGACTTGCTTTGCGATTGTGTACTTTATTTCCTTCACGTTCTCCATTTGATTCTCCATCATCTAAGCTTGTTGAGGCTCTGATGGGGTGGCTCGCCTCTCAGCGTGCTCGTGAACTGTGATTATGAGCTCGTGTTTGCTGAGCTTGGTCTTTGGGATTCTGGTGGCCACAGGGTGGTGATGGGCCCCCCAGACAGGTGGGGCCCAGCATAGTGGAGGCAGCAGCACAGCTGGGCCATCGGGGGCCAGAACCCCGGAAAGATGGGCTTGGCGAGGGGTCAGGGATGAGCCTGAGAGTCTCACATTCAGTCGGAGTCTCAGAGGGTCAGCACTGCCTCCTCCTTCTGGCAGACGTGCACGCACATCCTGAGGCACCTCTTCCTTAGGGTGTCCTCAGCCCTGGGGGGTGGGCGGTGGGGGAGCACAGAGGCCACCCACGCTGCAGCCTACCTGGCGCCACAGCTTGGTGGACAGTATCCTGACAGCTGCATCTGTGCACAGGAGACCGTGCCCTGGAGCACCGTCCGCCCTGGGGGCTGGCGGGGTTTCAGCTGGGGTTTGGGCTGGGTATCCTTTTGGGGACAGCTCTTGGGGGCTCTGTGTCTCCTGCTGGGCTCGTGGGTATGTGACGCAGCTGCCCGCACTGCCCACTCACCCACATGCCCTTTGAGGGCCTCCTCCCAGGAGAGCCTGGGCACCAAGGTGCTGACAGGGTCGGTGTCAGACAGAGCCCGCCGTTCCTGGAGAGAGGTTTGAGTCAGGAACGGTGGAAGCCAGCCTGCTCAGGTCGAGGTGCATGGGAACACGCCCAGGCCCGTCTTCTGGCCCCTCTCAGGTGGAGATGTACGAGCGGGTCTTCCAGAGGCCCCCAGACCGGCACTCCGACTTCTCCCGCCTCGCACGTGTGCTGACCGGCAATGCCATCGCCTTGGTGCTCGGGGGAGGGGGAGCAAGGTGAGTCCTCGCCACCCGCCCCGTGTGTGTGTGTGTGTGTGTGAACGATGCCCCGCGTGTGCTGATGAGGAGGCCCCTGAGCTCAGCCCCCAAGGCAGCCCCATGGGTGAGCCCAGTGCACAACCAGGCATTTTGCAGCACCTCAGTGCACGTTGCTGAGTGGTGCTTCCCGCAGGCTGTCCCGCTCAGACTCCACCAACTGGCCCGAGTTTTAATAGTTGCCGATGCAGTAGAGGAAAATTATATCTTGTTGTGATTGTCTTTGCGAGACGTGTCTGTTTGACTGTTAGCCATTCGTGGCTCCTCTTCTGAAAACTCTATTCTTATCCTTGCCAGTCTTTCCATTGGGCTCCGGGTGAGTTGCTTTGTGTTTTAACACATGCTTTATAGAATAATGATCTGATCTGCTCACAAACCTAGTGAAGCATTCTTTAATTCTTTGGGCTGGTGAGTTCCTTACGGGACTTTTAACCCAAGTAACTTCTACCCCGAATTGTCATTCTGACACTTGCCACCCTTCTGCTGAACTTATTTAAAAATAAATATACACTTGGAGCAGAAATGGGGCCCAGGGACCTTGTGAGGAGGATTTGACGAGGCCAGTGCCTTCTGGTGACCCAGATGACACGTGGAGGACAGAGCAGTGCCTCCAACAACATCTGTGCTGCTGGGCTGGGTTCAGGGCTGGGGGTGTCCTGTGGGGTGGAGCCCCTCGCGCCCCTCGCAACGGTGGACATCAGCACTGCTGGCAGAGTGAGGCGCTCAGGGCGGTCCCTGGGCCAGCTGGCATGTGCTGCTTCTTCAGCACTGTACCAGGGCCTCCTGAGTGCTCTGTGTCCTGAGTCCTGGCCCTGCTGATGGCGTTGGCCACCTCTCCCCAGTGCCCAGCAGAAGGTGCCTGGCTCAGCATCTCATGTGGCCCACGGACATCCCTTTCAAAGTGAGCTGGAGGAGGGAAGGGCTCAGAAGGACAGGAGCCCCTTAGGAGTCACCATGTTGGGAGCCACTCTGCAAAGATGTCTCCTGCCTTTGGAGTCAGACCTGGATCATGCCTGGCCCATTTTCCTCCTTGGCTAATTACAGTTAGAGAGATGCAGTCCAGCTTTGAGGCCAGGGAAGACTCAGACCCTCTTTAGAAAGGATCCGAAAAGTAATGCAAATGAGCTGCATAACTGCACTGCTAACTGAGTTCTCCTCGCTTCCCTAATATGGGAGACTCTGAAGCTTGGAGTCTTGGTCTGCGACCCCTACTGACAGGAAAGTGGGTGGAGACGACCCCTCCTCACTCTGCTCCTTCACTGGCTTCATTTTCCTTCACAGCACACATTACTGCCTAAAGCAGGGCGGAGGTGTCGCTGCCTGGCTCCTGAGGGCTGGGCTGCACTGCCGCGGGCCCAGGGCCCAGTGCTGCAGGGGGAGAGAGCCGCGTGCTGCCCTCGGCTCCGCTTCCACCGCCGGCAGGCAGCGGGCCCAGAGCTGGCTGGGACAGCCCTGCGCGTGGTGGTCCTGTCGCGCTTGAATTCGGCCCGGCCTGGATGAGTGCTGTGCTCATTTATCTCAGGATCCCGGAGCATCATCTGGTGCCGCACTTGCAGAAGATGTGCCCAATGTTGCTGGGCCAGGGGAGGACCCAGTCTTCTTTCCATGGGGCTGGGACGGGGGATGGCCCAGAGCAGCTGGCGCAGACTTGGACCTGGTTTGTGGGCCAGGATGGCCCAATCAGCAGCATTTTTAATGAAAAAATACTTAGTTTAAAAGCCACATGGCTATTCTCTAAGGCCACGTGGTGTTTGTAGAACACAAACTAACAGTCCTCGGCCGATCCTGCCCCGTCACCAAATCCAGAGGGATCCCAGAGATAATCACTTCCAGCTGTTTTTCAGTTGTCTGCTCATCTACATTTCTAAATAGCATAACATTCCTATTCTCCTACTTTTTTTGTTTTTTTTGTTTTTAGATTATTGAGTTCCTGACCTCCTCCAGTATACGCAAAGTCAGAGTCTATCCGTCCATCTCTGTCATCTGTCATCCATCATGCATCTATCATCTACGTATCAGCCGTCTGTCATCTATGTATGATCTGTCTGTCATCTGTCATCCATCGTGCATCTATCATCTATGTATTATCCATCTATCATCTATTCATCTATCATCCATCATGCATCTATCATCTACGTATCATGCATCTATCAATCATCTGCATATCATCCATCTCTCTCTCTCTCTCTCTCTCTCTCTCTGTCTCCTTTCTGTCTATCTGTCCCCCTCCTTAACACTCATAGTCCAAGTATGTTTCTCTCATGGGTCAAGCCAGTATCACTGTTTATGTTATGATGTCAATGTGGGTCTTTTTCAGAGCTGAGCCATCTCCTGCTGTACTGTATGACTGTGTTTCTGTCCTTGGAGTTAATAATTGTTACAGTTGCCATTTGCTTGGATTTCTGGGTATCATTAACTCATCTCCAGACACTCTGCTGGAAGCATTAACTCCTCTCGGCGTGCTCAGACACACCAGGGCATCTCTGCTCAGCTCTGCTCGGGATCCGCCTCCCTCCAGCTCTGCTGATATGGCCCTGGAATTTCCCTTCACCATCATCCTGAGAACTGCCTTTGTCTTTCTCCTGTGTTCATCTCCACTTCCTGGATTCCATGTCTTCCTCTTTCTTGGTAGATTCCTGATTTTGGTAGAGTTCATACTCTAGAAATTCCTTAGGAGAAGACAGATGGGAGGTAGAAGTTTTGAGACCATGCACAGCAGAAAATGTCCTCATTCTAGTCTCACACTTGAATGGTTTGGGTATGGAATTCTAGGTGGAAATAATCTTCCCTGAGAATCTTTAAAGCGTGGTTCCATTGTCTTTTTAGCTTCCAGTATTGCTGTTAAGAAGTTCAATGCCCTTTTTATTCATGAGGCCTGTTTTTCCTCTGGAAGCTTGTAGGAGAGTCTCTTAATTCTTACTCTTCTGAAGGTGTTGATGCTGTGCCTTGGGTCGTTCTTCACCCGTTATACCGGCTGGACTCCCAGTGAGCCCTTTTGCAGTCGGAAGTCCATAAACGTCAGCTCTGGTGCAGCGTTTGCCCTCTCTGCTCTCCCTTCCTGGAGCTTTTCATGTTGGAGACCAGGCATCCTGGACAGATCTCCTGATTCTCCTCTCTCTTCTGTCCCATATTTTCTATCTCGGTCTTTTTGTTCTACTTCCTGGATGATTTTTCTCCAATGTGTCTTCTAATTGATCTTTTTTGCTAAAGTGTTTCTAACGTCTAAGTGCTTTTTGCATAGTTTCCTCTCTCAGTTGCACTAGTGAATGTTGACTTTCTCTGAGACTGTTAATGCAGGTTTTTACTTGCTTGCTTAGGTTTTCTGCTCTGTGCTGGCTCATGTCTGGCTTTGCTCTCTCAGCACAATGAATGTGAGGCTGCCTGTGTGCCCCTGAGCACATTGGCGGCGTGCTGAGTGCTATTACGTTGTCTACCACGCTTGCTTATCCCTCCTCCTGTTGATGGACATTTGGGTTATTTTCTAGTTTTGGTCGTTATGAACAAACTGCTATAACCATTCTTGCACAAATCTTCTCTGTGGATGTTTGTTTTCTTTCCTCTTGGGCGTATACGTAGGAGTGGAATTACCTGGGCGTGGGGTCCTTGTACCATTTTACACCCCCACCAGCAATGTTTGAGAGTTCGGGTTGCCCACATTTTTGTCAACTGTTGGTATCGTCAGTACTGTAAATTGTAACCCTTCTGCTCTCATTGTGGTTCTAATTTGCACCTCACTGAGGACTAGTGATCTCATGTACTGTTAGTCATTTGTGTATCTTCTTTCATAAAGTACCATTTATGTTCTTTACTCATGTTTAACAGCGGTTTGTCTTTTATTATTGAGTTAGGAGAGTTATTTATATAGTCTGAATACATGTCTTGTGCCATATATATTTATTGCTAATATTGTTTCTCAGTCTTTGACTTTTCATTTTCTTAATGGCATTTTTTGATACAGTTTCTAATTTTGATGAAGTGTGCTTTTCCAGTTTTTTATTGGTTATTATTTCTGGTATTCTGAGAGCTCTTTCCTATCCCAAGGTCACACGGGTAGTCTATATTTTCCTTCAGAAGCTTTATGATCCCAGCTTGTACATTTAGGTCTGTGACCCACCTCTGATGCTTTGTGAATGGAGTGAGTGGGAGGTGCGGCTCTCTTCTCCCGTGGTTGTCTCAGGTCCAACACCATCTGTGGCAGGCTTTCCCTCCCTGTTGAGTTGCTGTGGCATCTGAGTCAAACATCAGATAACTCTCCAGGTGTGAGTCTACATCTGGGCACTGTCCTGTTCCTCCGAGGTGGGTGTTCTGCCCTTAATGACACTACCACACTGTCTCGATTGCTGTAGCTTCGTGGTAAATCTTGATATCAGGCAGTGTAATTCCTTCAGTTTTTTTGTTTCAAAATTGTTTTGGCTATTCTAGGTCCTTTACATTTTCATGTGAATTTTAGAATCAGCTAAGTATTTTATGGGATTTTTTTTGCTATTGTAAATGATATCTTTTCAATTTCATTTTCAAATTGTTTGTTACCAGTATATAGAAATACAATTGATATTTTTAAATTGATCTTATATCCTACAACCTTGCTAAATTCACTTAATCTAGTAGCTTTTGTTTAGATTATTTTTGGATTTCCTATATATACAGTTATGTCTTCTGAGAATAAAGACAGTATTTCCTCTTTCTTTCCAAAATATGTATATGCCTTTTGTTTCTTTTTATTGCCTCGTTGCACCCATTAGAACTTCCAGTGCGATGCTGAGTACAGTGGTGGGTGCAGACACGCTGCCTGTCCCCAGGTTAGGGGCAGCACTCACCTTCCTCACTGAGCCTGAGCTTGGCTGTAGGTTCCTGTAGATGCCTTAATCAGGCTGAGGAGGTGTCCATCTATTCCTAGTTTGCTGAGTTTTTATCATGAATGGTTGTTTCTATGGATCTGTTGAGATGAGTGTGTAATTTTTCTCCTTTATTCTGTTAATGTGGTGAATTACACTGACTGATCTTTAAATGAAAACTAAGATGCATTCTTGGGTAGACTCATTGCCCATGATGTGTTGGGTAACTAGTAAACTAGTCACTAGTAAAACCATCTGGGCATAAAATTTTCTGTGTGAGAGTTTAAAAATTAAAGATTTGATTATTTATATAGTTATAATACTATTCAGATTTTCTATTTCTTATGTTGTTCTAGGAATGTGTCCTTTCATCTGTATCTTCCTCCTGGTGGCATGAAGTTCACGCCAGCTTCCTACCTTTTTAACTGGAGCATCTGTACGGATGTTCTCTTTTTCATTACTCATGTTAGTTATTGATACCTTCTCTCTCTTTTTCCTTTTCTTGATCAGTCTTACCAGCAGGTATCAATTGAATTACTCCTTCAAAGCACCAACTTTTATCTTTTTGGATCCTCTCTATTATATGTTTGTTTTCTGGTTCATTAATTTCTGCTCTTAATTTTACTCTCTTTGATTTAAGTTTTTCTTTTGTTTTCTAACTTATGGGCTGGCAGACGTTGTCTGTAAAGGGCCAGATGGTGAGTACCTGGTATCTGTCGTGACCACAGAGGGTGGGAAGTCAGCTCTGTCTGTGCTGCCCTGTGAAGGTGATGTGTCTTTTTGTTCTCAGGCTGCTTTAAAGTTTTTTTCTGTCTTGGGTTTTCAACAATGTAGGAATGGTTTTCTTTTGATTTATGCTTAGAGTTTATAATGCTTCTTGAATCTAAGGCTTGATGCCAATTATCAGTTCTAAAAAATTCCAAACTATTATCTCTCAGACATTGCTCCTGCCCCTCTCTCTGGGCTGCACCTACATTTGGGTCAGACGCTTCACCAGATCCCACATGTTTTCTGAGCTCTTTCACATATTTTTTAAAGAATATTTTACATATTCTGTCTTTTTGGTGCTCTATGATTCAATCAATATTTTCTTCTGACCTATAAAGATTTCACCGTTTCTCTCTTCAGCTGTGTCTAATCTGCTTCACACCCATTCATTGGGTACTTCATTTTGGTTATTGTATTTTTCACTTCTAAAGTTTCCGTTTGGTTCTGTTTTATAGTTTCCAATTCTATACCAAAATTATGAATCTTGTCTTTGATTTCTTGAAGTTTTTTTTTAGGCTTATACCTGAGTACGTATTTAAATTTTTTTGTGGTGATACTATATATTCTTTTTTATTGTGTTAAAATATATACACTAGAAATTTTACCATGTTAACTATTTTTGAGTGTGAAGTTCAGTAGCATTAAGTATATTCACAGTGTTTTGCAACCATCACTATTAATTTCCAGAACTTTTTCGTCTTCCCAAACTGACTGTACCCCGTAAGCCATAACCTCCTATCCGCAGGCCCTGGCGCCCACCCTTCCACCTTCTATGTCTGTGAGTTTGGTGTCTCCAGGCCCTCGTGTGAGTGGAGTTCTGTGGTGTGTGTCCTTTTGTGACGGGCTTGTTTCACTTCTGAGAGAGTCCGCGACAGTCCCTGTGTTGTGTCGTGTGGCTCTCCCACCTCTGTCAGGCTGCACAGCGCTCCCGCATGTTGTCCGCCCACTTTGTCTCCTCAGTCTTCTGTCGAGGGGTACTCGGGCAGCTGCCACCTTTTGGCTCCTTGGACTTTTTACAACAGTCGTTTTTTTTTTTTTTTTTTTGTGAGGAGATCAGCCCTGTGCTAACATCCGCCGATCCTCCTCTTTTTT